AGTAAACAACCGTGTTCAACTCATTCCTGACTGCTTTCTTACAACTGCTGACAAAAAACTAGCAGGCAGAAAGACAGCATGAATAACTCCTGCAAAGGGAATTATCTATGTAAAAACAGTGGTTAACCCTAAAAGCATTCGTATTCATTCAAAGTGCTCATTAGCTATCTATATTTAAAACTTCCACTACTAATGAGCAACTCCATCTCTTATGTTATTTTCTTGCTATCTTCTGTTTATGTTAAACTTCTGTTTATCTGCCCAGCCAAGACCTGTATATCCAACAAAAACTTCCTGCAATGACACAATCAAATATGTGAACAAGTTACTGACAGATAGAATCAGTCTAATTGGAATGGAAGTCACCAAACAGAAACAAAACCAGAACCAGCCCACACCGTGCTTCAGTATGGAATTAGCACACAAGCCAAATGTTTGCTCCTTTACAACCCAATTGTGGTTTTATGCCAGCAACATACATCTCGCAAAAGACACTCCAGGTACACAATTACTTAAGTGGAAACATAGATAGTACTCTCATCATCTCCACAAGAAGACACAGGTAAGTAGTAAAAAGGTGATGCCCCAGTAAGGTTTTGGAATTCCCTGGTAAAACTTAGTAGTACAAACTAGTTCAAAGGCATATCAGCAGACCTGGTATAGCATAACACAGCTGAACTTCAAAATACAGAGCAGCAGTATTGGACACAATTTTTTTTTACTACAGAATAACAGTGGCATTTTTTGCTTTGGTTTGTTTTTTTACTACTGACAGATACAAAAACATTATTCAAAATAGCTACAAGGCTCAATGAAATCAGTAGCTAAAATATTAGGAATATGAGATGTGAGAGACATGGCCCAATTCTAAATTTTCATTCTACTCTTACACAAAACTAACACCTGTACGCTTTCAAGACTATAAATTCAACCCAATCCAAGAACTTCCCACAAGTCTTTACTCCGCATTTGCTACATTTTAATAAGCAATGCAGCTTGGGGGGGGGAGGGGGGGGCACAAGTATCTAGGCAAGTATTTACTACTTCATTGTTCTTGCACTATTCTTATTGAGTACTACTGGAATGGCTTTTTTTTTCTTTTCCAAACATGATCAATATTTTCCTGAAGCTAAAAGCAATATGATCACTTCCGATGTTTTATCAAACTTGAATATATAATTTTCACCTTTTATATCATTTGCTTGGTTCTCAACATCTCTAGTGCATTCAATATATTTTCATGATGATAAGAACTTGATAAACTATTATTTTGATCTGTCTTCTACATTCAAATCCACCCATGAAAGTGTGAATGTGTTAAAAAAAATAAAGTTAATACATGATAAATTCTACTGCACAATTAAAGGTAAAATAATCACCCTACACTTCTTTTTAATGAATTTATATGATCAAACCTCTGGATCAGTTTATACAGGCATAAGAATTGGGCAAAAATACTGTAATATTTATATACTACATATGTCTATTTAAGACATAACTGGTAACAGTTACCCTGTTTTCCATGCTGCCCTTAGTATGCAGAAATGTCCCAAACAATGTTGTTCAATGGTCTTGTGAGAGATCTAAATCAGGAAGAGATACCTGTTGTGTTTTAATATAAAGTGCATCATCATCAAGAAGCAGTTCAGAACATGCAGACTCTTTTTCCTTCCCTTCTGCTTTCAAGAACAATACTTCAGCATTAACTGTTACCAGTTAATCTCCTCTGAGAGTTATCAGCATGTGGTGTTAAGGAATAGATGCTTCTGGAACTTGTACTTTTGGTTTAGTAGATCTATACTGGTCCCTTATACTCTCAACTGACATATCAGTCCTTTTCTTATGAAGGTTAAGACAAGACAAGAAGCTTTAAGCTCTCCAAAAGCTTAAAGATCAGACAACTAATTATTTTTAGTTACATATTCCTAGGCTGCAGCTAACTAGAAAAATCAAAGCCAAAACCAGAAAGTTCTTTGTTACAGAACCAATCCATTTTTATAAGGTAGCCTCCACAAAGAGGAGGGAAAAAAGTAATAACCAACCATACAGTTATACTCTGCTTAACAGGTGCAGGACAAGATGTAGCAACCACTTTGAAAACATGAACTTTTAAACACAAGATGAATTCTTGCTTGCAAGTACAGAGCACAATCCCGTATTTGATGCTACCACACCATAAAAAACACTTGCTATTGTGATTATCAGCATAATAACTACAACCATAATGGTAGTAATAGCATTGGCACTTATGGTTCCTTCCTTTCACAAAACATCCTGGAGAGACTGACTTTCAAACTACAAAGAGGTAAAAAGAAAAATTCACATTCTGAAAATATCTTTTTAATCACAAACCACATTCTAAGGCATTAACTTTGTTATCACAACATGCATTTGTAGTGAACAAGCATGTCTGAAATAGAAATTTAGCTTTTCCTATAATGAGCTGAACCCCCAGCTTTCCTTTTTGCAGCATTTCACTAAAAAGCAGTATAGAACCTATAAAATCTACAAGTTAACAAGACTGACAAAAAGCAATTATTGAAAATCTTCCGGTTCTCCAGACTGAAAGTATCTTAAAGTGCCCTTCTCTACATGTGTCCTACATATCATAGGTGCTAAGAAAGGGCAAAACCAGAAGTCAGACAGGCTGCAAATTTGGTTTCCTGGTTAGTCAAATTGGAAAATAAGATTCAATATCACCATTTCTTAATATTTTCACTTTTTTTTTTAAAGCAGTGGACATTAATACATTTCTGTGTTTTCAGCTTAAGTGGTGATCTAAAATTCAAGTATTCCAAGATAAAAAAAGTGAAAAAATCCTCTTCCTCAAGAGGATTGTTTCCCTCAGTTACGCTGTGGTTAATTTTAGGGTTTTAGAGTAGGTCAGTTTCCAGTGAAATGAAGAGATGCCCATTATAAGAAACAATTCACTTAGCCTATAGAAGCTTTCATCCTTTAGCCAAAGGTACCTGAGACAGTACTAGGCATCTCTGATCAGTCACCCAGATCAGTCACCCTCAGAAGCCAAGCCTTGTTGAAAATGCAAAAGACCTGTCCTCTATAACCACAAAACCTTTCAATTTCTGGCCTGACCTCTCCTCAGCTACTTTGAACTGGAGAAAGATATCAGCAGAGTCATCATATGATTCTTGCTGTTACTGCATTACAAAATAATTACAGTACATTTTTTCATTTTAAGGCATGCAAATCAAGTTTATTCTCAGAACCTCAGCATACTAATATTGGCTCTCCTAATAAACAGAAAACTGCAAATAAATCTTACTTGTCTAACTTCCAACTTATCTGACACATCAGAAGCCTGCAAGTCTTTGTCAAGATATGACTGTTTCTCACTCTGTATTTATCACGGGACTTCTAAATAAAGAATTTGGGCTTTAGAAGACAGAATTACTACTTAAAATTTAAAATCTTGTATACATTTCTATTCTTGAAGCTCGTAATTCTACAAGCTCACCATCATCAGAAATCCCGACCAAAACTGAAAGTGCCTAAGTTTTAAATCAGATTAACGTATTCCAATATGAAACTTAATTCTCTCAAACAGTGTAAGATACATAAGGTACTATTTCACAATACTATCTTTCCTTTCAGTTCTGGGATCAATACTTTTAAAGCTTTCAAGCCATTTTCTTAATATTTAAGTTGGGCTATATTTTAATCTACACTGCAACAAGCAAATGACCTACAATGTTATCAATTGCAATGACTGCCTGCTAGACAGAACTCCACAAATTTGACAGGACATCGAAAGATTCAATTTTGAGACTTTAAATTTATTCCTCCAGATTTATATATTTAAAATAAATGAAATATCCCTTCAGAATACTTTTTTCTTTCTCCTCTTCTTTGCCCCACCTAATTTTAGAATTCTTTAGACCCAGTTTTACTTGAGCTATCAACATACAACTTACAAACATTCAACTGAAATGAATGAATATTTAGTTTTCACAGAATGAAATATGCACTTACAGCATCTTGGTCATAATCCAACATGCTCCATGTAAATATACCCTCTAAAGCTGTTTATGCATGAACAGCTGATGCAACTGAAAACTGTCAATCAGGAGATGATCTGGATGCATACGTAAATCTATCTAGCTTTTTTCCCCAGCCCCAAGGATTCATGGGTTTTAAAGCCAAACAAGAAAATAAAAGATCTGTCTTATGTGTACTTCATTGTTATAGGCCTCAAAATGTAAGTCACAGAACTGTTCATTGCTTAAGTAAGGGCATTTGGGTGAGAAGAACTACATCAATCCTCCTGTACAACCTAAATTTTATTCTACTTCTGCTGATCATGATTTTTCATGTCAAAATAATAACCGTATTTCCAGCAAAACAGTATCACTAAGAATAAGCTATTTAATCTGCAAATACACTTGGTACGTACAGTATTTTGATTAACAAAAAACGGAAGAACTTCCCAAAACACCAATCTGAAGAATGACTAGTGACTTTCAAAGATGTGCAAAGATCATCAGTTCCTTAGAAATCTTACAGTAACTGGATATAAGCATGTGATAAGGCATAGTGAACTCTTAGCTATTAATTTGAATGAAATGCTCTTTTTCAGATGAATCGGTAACATTTCTTTAAAAGAAAGTTAATGAATGATTGAAATAGTGTGTCACTAAAAAGGTGACATACATCTGTTGGCAAGTGGAGGGCATTAAAAGGGAGTAATAACAAATAAGACAAGACTGAAAGCAGTACATTTAGTTAGCATCTTTAAAAGCAAACTTTTTTTTTGCATAAAACTTTGGAAACAATATTTCCATTCAGGGAAACCATCTTCTTCCTGGACTGTTGCAGAAGAGTTTCAAAGGGCAAAGAAAGATTTTGAAATTCTGCAGATTCTTAAATATTCTACTGAGGTTGGAACAACATAATTTTGGGGGTGCAGAGAATGGAATAGAAACAAAAAGTAAATCAAGAACATCAAAGATTTCCCTTCTAAACACCCTTGAAAATAAGATTACCTGTATGCATCGTCTTCTTTCAAGTCTCATATCATCCTGCAGGGGTGTGGGGGACGGGGGGAGTCCAGCAGCAAACAACACTGCAAAATGAAGAAAAAAGAAGTAAATGTAAATACAAACTAGTAAGATACCTAAAAAAAACCCCATAAAACCTCCATTCTACTAGATCCATGTAGTGCTTAGTTCAACCCTAGCTCAGGTATAACTACAGAGCTAAACCAAGGAAGTTCCAACAGAAAATGAAGTTTTCTGACAGTAAAAGTAGAGACAGACATTAGAAAGACTATCTTCCACTGACATCGATTGTTAGAAAAAAAAAATTATCTAAGTATCAAAATTTCAGGGATTAACTTAAATTTTAACTGGTCATTGAACAGTTCTGAAAATTAAGGTCTTCCAAAAAAAGTTCTTCTCAGACCTACAAAAGTGAAATTATTGGTAGTTACCCATCTGTGCAAAGCCCTTAAATATATGGATTTTTACAGAAACACAGGACAATATTCATAAAACATGACAACTTCTGTAGGATTTTACCCAATCAACAAACTGTAGAACTATAAGTGCACATAAATCCATAAATGTACAAGTCCATTTCTTCCTCCTATCTCACATGAAATTGCATTAGGTTCACCTTACACCAAATTAAAGTATGATCATAAAAATAAAATTACAACTTTCTACAAGACAAAGAGATATAAAGGCATGAGTTTCTAGGAAGAAGTCTCTAACAAAAGTTTAAAAAAATGGTGGGATTATGAAAAGAAAAAACAAACAAACAAACAAACACCCAACAACTAACCAACCCCTGCGTCAGAGTATTTTTCAAGTATTTGCTTTTCACCTGTTCTCCAACAAAACATCATTGGTGGTCTACAACCTATGAAAACATCAAAACCACTTAGAAAGTAATGAGAATTTTAGAGAACCTCTGCAAATTACCTAACTGCTCAAATTGTAGAGTTTATATTATTATTTAAACACCTCCTGATTTATGTAACTCCAAGAAAATGTCTAGCCTAAAATGCGCTATTTACTGCAATGTAAGCAGAAAACGTTGCAGTTGACTCCATTTCTTCATTAACAATGACTGTTTAAGTCCTGCATATACCCTAAACCCAGCCAGCTTTTCTTCCACCACACTGGCTTCTTCCTTGTGCCACAGAAATGTGACATGCACACAAAGACATGCACACACAAAAGGGGGTGGCAGGACAACAAGGAAGAATTACTTTTTTAATACACGTAGGAGCATATGTTGCTGCGGTTCTATTGTTATTTTACAAGCAGGTGAGTTCTTGCTGTCATGCCTCCAAAAGATGGAGGAGGCAAACAAAAACTGGCCATCGTACATCATGAATCAACAGCCTTAGTTTTTTACTGCTGAAGTTCCACAGAGACCTAGAACATCACTGCCACATCCCCAGTAGCCATAAACTCGGCAAGGCTGATGGGTACTGCCTAAGGCTACGCAAGATCCCACAAACTAGGCACTCTCATGCCTAAATTGCTTCAATTTGGATAAAAGATTCGGTCTGGTATGTATGCTAACTGTAAACACCACACAGACAGACACAGTGTCTTCCACTGAGCTTAGTCCCACTAAACTTAGCAGAGGCAGTCACTTGTATTCAAGAACAAGAAAAAAAAAAAAAAGGGAGAGAAAATTCTTCTCTTCTTTACACTAAATAGTCTCTGGATTTAAACAAACAAACAATAGAAGTCCTGTATGTCCAGCCTACACGGGTGTCTTTAGGCTACAGAGCTACAGTCCCATTTTTGAAAGCTCTCTGGCCAAGATACCTTTTTTTGTTTGTTTTTTTTTAACCTGCAGTATCTATGTACACCAGGATTATAGAAAGCCTCTTCCAGTAGTAGCTGCACGGACTGAAGGCATCACTCTCTTGTCTTCACCACCTTGTAGCTCAAATACAGCAAGAATCACCTCTCATTTGCATCAGTACAAGGCTAGTTTCAATACTAAGCCAGCTTAGTTCAAACTATCAACAAATATAGTTTGAGCAAAGCTAGCTGATTTTCAGCCACAATAGACTGTAGAGCGTTCATACATTGTCTTCTGCCAGTTCCACAATGGGAATGGTAAGCTCCAAAAGCAGCACATTAGCACATCTCCGGAGCTTTACAACAGCCTAATGTTGTATCAAACTGACTGCAACGCTAGCAACATACAGCACTGTCGTGGGCAACAGACTGCCAACTCTATTCCAAACCATAAGAGGAAATCAGTTGATAAGAACATACTATCCAATAAACACAGAGACTACCAACCTATAGCTACAGAACTTGAAATCACACAGCTGCTTTTGTCAAAGCAGTAAAGCAACTTCATACATAGGGGAAGCTATGCTTTTTGCTGATACGAAATCTAGAATATTTTAAAATCACTTGTAATACTAACTCTGAAAAAGTATTTATCTTGCAAAGAATTCACAAAGGTGTAAGAAAGGAGAAACCACACTGGAAAGGTAACGCACACAGACTTGAATTATTTCAGAATTTAGAAGATGACATTAGAGCTACTGACAATAAGGAAGAGTTGCTGATGTAACTATAAAATCATTAACAGTTTATTAACAAGGAATCAATACATCTGCCCACTTCACAGCTAACCAGCAAAATATATCCATCACAAACCAATACAGCTCTCCAACAATTATCACATTCTGAAGAACTGGACAACTAGCATGGAATTAAGAACCGGAGTGGAAAAGCAGGTGTCTATTGTAGCACTGTATTCTAAGAAGGGACCCACAACATAAAAAGTAATTTTAAAACATTAGTGGAGAAAAAAGACAATGAGATACTGTGATGGTAACAGTATCACAGACACACAACATAAAAGGGTAACATTTTAAACTTTTTTTTTTTAATAGAGACAACCAAATCACATATAATAGCTGCAGGGGCAACACATTAAACTCAGTAACTGAGTGTCTTCTGTTGTGCCTCTGCATTGCCAAGTTCTTAAAACCAAAAGACCTTTTACACAGCCTGTACAAGGGCTTCCTGGTTTAGATAATAAACTGATGATAAGAGGAGGCAAGAACAAATCGCACTCATCACACAGTCTGTAAGATCATTACTAGAAGAATCCCCTTAGTAATAACATATACTGGGCTTCAAGAACCCAGTTTGATCTACTTACTGGTATAGAACAGAAGTGAATTGGAAATAAAGGAGTAGAGGGAGGAAGAGATGACAAGAAAGGTGTTGAAAAGCAAATTATTGAAAGTGATATAGCAAACAAAAAGAATAAAAGCTGAAGTCTTTCATTTAAACAGAGAGCAGTTCTTAGAAATCAACTGTGTATGAACCTACCATGCTAAAACTACTTCATGCTTTTATTTCCTATTTTAATTAATGTTGCTTTCTACTCTTCATCTTTCCTACCCACACAATGCTCCTCTGATCTACTCAAAATACAGATAATGGGATTACCTATCCAAAGCCACTCCACATTCATGAATAATTTCAAGTGTAGAGTTCAGCTTTATTGCTGAGCACATTTTATCTCAGGTTATACTCCACCATATTATAAAGATGGTGACTGTGAAAAAACAAAGCCTTCATGAGTCTCTGACTTTTCCTTACACCATAAACCTAGTTCACCTATTAACCTCTCTGAGGACTAATGTTTTATTCCAGTGTATTCCTTAAGAGCATCCACTCCTTCCTTCAAAACACTCAATACCCAACTTATGTCAATAGGTTCACTGTAAATCAAAGTTGGTTTCAGAACAATCATACTCCTAAAAACCTAAAAGTTAAAGTGCAAAAACCATTACTAACATCTCTCTGAAGAAGTTTCATCCTCCTCCCCCATTTCTTCTCTTTTTTGTGTTTGCCTGGATACCAATCAGATCGTGAGTTTTTGCAAATGAGGACAATTTTATTACATATAAGCACAGCAGGAAGCCAGCTCAGCTGAATCTAGATGCAGCAGAGCAGTAAGACTATTTTTTTTAAACTATATTATTTCATAAACTTAAGAATGTACGTAAGTCATACAATATGTTGCATATTTACTTTCTATAATAGATCTTAATTTAAAGCATCTAGAGTTAAAAGATTCTATCCAATTCTATCCAATGCAAGTTTGCGAAGTGCTAAAGGCAACTATCATAAACACCTTTAAAGAAAAGCTACATTTTCACTACAATTTTGCTTTAATTTTAAGCATGTATGAAGAATTCTTTCCATTACAATTTAAAGAAGTTTTCAGAATATCAACAATAGCACACCCAAGAGCTTGAACTAAAAGAGAAGTCTGCTGGGGAGGGTTTTACTTCTTACATTTTACTGATTAAAACACTTTGTATGTAGGTTTATTTTCCTTATTCAGTATCACTGTATTGTAAGATTCAATATGGCACCTTTTGCAAACTAATGACAACAAGCTTCTTGACATTTTTCCTCTGTGAAAAGGTTATTTATAATTTCTAAAGTCATACTCATGAAGCACCGGAGAAATCTTTACGTACCTCATGACTACACAAACTGCTGTGAGAGATGAACATAATTCAGGTCACTGACCTTCGGTAAATGCAGGCAGGCCTGTTGCTAGCAACATAAAATATAAATACTTACTTAGAAGCAAAAATATTTATTTACTAGGAAAATTATCCTGAGGTATACACCATTACATTGATATTATTAACATACTGGAATATAAGGGATCTCGACATATATAAATCTATACAATAGCAATTTCTTAAGCTGCTGTTATTCTGCATCTCAGCAGCCTATTCTTGAAACTACACACGGACAACCAATGACGTTGCTTCACATAAGACATACAGGGCAAAAGATTCACCAAAAACATCAGATTTATTATGCAGTATTTTAAATAATACACCAAAATCTGAAGTACAACCAATACTACTGAAATTTAAAATAAGTAAGTAAATAAATCTCACAGGGTGTTAGTGATTCTCAACTTCCGGGACTAGCTCCCAGAGAGACACAGTTGAGGAATTCCAAATCATTGTTTTTATGGTACCCAGCACATACAGTGTGTTCTGTTACTAGGTAAAATCCCATATGTTTAGATGTACAAATTAACATACATCTGAAAACCAAACACACACATACAAACGCGTATTTACTGTTTCTGTTCTACTTATATATAACATCACATCTGTTGGTCCCAAGAAATAATTCACAAGAATGAAAAGGGGAAAAAAAAAAAAAAAAAAAAAAAATCAGACTACTTCATATATCCAATTTACCAAGTAGAAACTCAGTACATCATCTCGGGTTCTCCCACAAAATCACATACATAAAATTAAAAGCCAATACGGTTTCAGCATGAAAACCCAAAATATCCCTCCACTTTTATGGTCACCTGCATGTTTCTATACCTGATAGCCAATAATACTGAGTACTAAGCAAAATACAAGTAATTAGCGACCAGCATCACATTTAGCATGTTCCCAGAGAAGTCATAGATCCCTGTCTCCACATTTAAGTGCTTTGGTGTTATGGAAAACTTATTACCTGAATGTTTTCACTGAAATAGTCTAGCAGCTACATTACCACTATCTTTAGGTTTTAAAATTCATAATTCAATAAGAAAAAATAATATACATCTCTTCAGTTTACTTTGCATATTCATGGAACCATGAGCACAGTCACTTTCATCTGTCAGTTTACCCCATGCTTAAGGAAGAGAATCTTAAAATTTTGGGAAGACGGCATTTTTGTACATGACTGGTTTCCAAGTTAGAGTGAAAAGACAACAACAATTAAAACTGAGTTTATACAACACTTCACTGATACGCCATTCATCCTCAGAGCTTGTATTATACTTTGTACTCCCAACGAGTTTTAAATGCACATTGCTAAACTAGAAGACTATGCTAGTTTCTAGATCAGTATGTGCGAGATACTTATGAAACAACTGCATCTAAACCAAAACACACTCTACCATCATTTTTCTTGTATACTGTAAAATTATTTTCAGTGTTCCTAAAAGCACTAGTTCCTCTAAAAAGACTATACTGTGAATGACTAGTTTCACTCTTACGCTAAATTTATAACACGTGATGCAAGAACCCATCCTTTAAGTGTGAAACCATGTAAAAGCAGTTTTACTGAAATGACAAAGTTTCTCACCCAAATTCAAACCTGGCAAAGGCAGAACTACAGTTGCAGTAGAGCAATAATTTCTTTTCAGCAGCAGTACCGCTTAAGCATCCTGTACCTTTTCCACTGCTATCTGCTTGGCTGAGACAGTGCTACTATTACAGGATCACTCAAACTGCACTGGGGAACTGACCCAGGTGGAAAAAAGCAGGAACATACAGCTGGGACAAAAAGGGGCTTCTTAGACTGGTATTGGTGTCACAATACTAAACACTGAAGTGCACCTAATTTTATCATAGAAGGACCTACAATGGTGTCAAACCAGTATTAATTCAGTAAGACTTCAAGTGCAATCTGAATCTCTGAAATATCTGATTTATAACATATAATTTTTTAAACATTTCCTTTTTATGAAAAGAAATGCATAACTTCTGAAAAATATACTGCTTCCCTTGTATATGAAGGAACTGGACAGTGTAAAACTTACACTTGACCCATATAGCCAGACAACTCAGGATTTGTTTTCTAAATATTTGTTCATGTGACCCCAGAATAAAGACTATGGTTTTAGGAGGAATTAAACTGACACAACTGGGGAGGGGTGGTGGAGAAAGAGAGAGGAAAAAACCCCACACTTATGCTAATATAAAAGTTCAAATACTTGAGATTTGTTAGATAATTTGCATATGTTTCTTTTCTTACTCATTGACTAAAAACATTAATTTTAGAAGCACAAACTTAAAATATTTTTCAGTATACTGACCATATAAGGAACCACAAATTAGAGGGGGGAGTTGTTCTTTTTTCCACCCACTTAATAGCGTCAAGCAAAACAGATGTGGTTACGTTTCAACTGCTTTGGAACAGCAAAGTCATGCCACTGTATTTACATTCCCCCCCCCGCCCAACCAAAAGAAGCAAAGAGATGCTACAGCAGGAGTTGCCCATCCTCTGAAATACCAGCTAAAACATTCACAACTGTTGGATGGCACTGAAATCTTATAACCAAGTACTTGCTTCTGTACTGTTTAATGGCCTCACTGAGTACAAATGCGATTACTAAAGTCCAATTTACATGATTCTTGAAAATTATTCTACCTCAAATTTACATAAGCATGAAGACAACAGCACTCCAGGAAAAGGAAGGATATTTATGAAATCCAGGTATTTTTTAATTATTTCTATGTCTTCTTACAAAAATAGATGTATGTAACAATCTAATTTTTTGATGTTAACACATACATACTACCTATGATTTCCTTAAAAGGTGACATCTGATAAGCAAGGATTTAATTTTTTTTTTCCAGAAATAGAGCCATTTTAGTTAATATGTTAGACATGAACTAAAAAGTAGTGTGTGAGTAAAGTCATATTTAAAGTAGAACATCCATGAGGGCTGTAAACTAGTTTACCCAGAGTAATGTGCTCTCACAGTTGTGAAATGCTTTTCAGAGCTGAGATTTTTCTATAGGTGTCCTCAAAAAGATTGATCATTTCATTTACAAAAACTGTTCCTGTTCCTTGTGGTTGGGAAAAGAACTTTAAAAATGCAAAGCAAAACACATGCCACTATATGTTTGCATTCATCAGTTTAGAACTTTAGACCTAAAAAGTCTCAAGAGAGTATAACCTTCCTACATCTCGTTGATTTTTTCAGCCATAAAGCAAGCAAGCAAAGAATTAAAGGAACGCCTAAAACTTCCACAGAACATGTCCAAACATCACTCAATTTACAGATCTTTACTACAATCTTGATCCTACTCCAGCTTACTATTCTTCCAATTTAGTGGTCACTAACTACTATTTCCATTCTTTGTTGTACCCTTTATTTACAAAACAGACTACTTCTCAGAGACCTGGCAAGCGAGGGTACTCAGATGCAGCTACTTCAACTTTTTAATCCTAGATTAGAGTTGGGACAGCACTTGTAGTGCTTTCCCGACAAGCAATGTATACTGTAATGCTTTCACCTCTCAAAAACTGCAAGAGCTTAGATGCACATTATACTTAAGTATAGATACACATGCACATGCACACTACATACATATGGGAGGTAGGATGTTTTTTCTTCCCTGCAAATACAGACTACTTTAACTGCAATGCCTTTATACCGATGAAAACATAAAATCTTATTTTTCAACAGGGGAAAACAAGAGTTCCTGTCCAAAAGTTTGCCGAAACAGCTATTTAAAAAAAAAAGGAATTCCAAGCAAGGGAAGAAAATAAAATGGGCATCTGAATGGTATAGTATTTTCACAGCTACCAGGGTTTTAAACAAAATATTATGACACATTTAAGAGACTTCAGCTTTCTAAGTGACCCACCCATACCAAATTCAGATGTTACTGGGTTTTGACATCATTACTATTTCCTTATTTTAACTGTTTGCTTTTTCTTTGCCCCTTTTAATTCTTCTCTGAAGCATGACAAACTCCATCATGCTGCAACATACATGTAACAGGAACCAGAAATTAATAAATTAATAGGTTATCATCATGTTTCAGTAAACATTACTGTAACAGAATTGATCAAAAACAGAAAGAATGTAAATCTTATTCAGACCACAACACACTCCAATACTTGTACAGATTCCTAGGAAATGATCTGCAGAGCTGCTATCATACGTCTAAATGAAATAAGACTACTTCTCCATTTCAGCTTTGGCAGCAGATAGTTCCAATGTTACTTTCAAAGATGATCTAAAGTTACATATTTCAAGTACATTTATAACAATCTAGATGTTCATTGCCCTGAAACAGTAGCACCTTTAATCTTGAAGGCTTCCAAAATATTTTAATACATGGAGATATGCACATCTATAGTCTTCCAAATTAAAAAAAAAAAAAAAAGAAAGCAAGAAAGAACAACCAACCAACCACACACAACTGTAAACCGCTGGGTAGCTCCATAAATAGATGGTGCTTACCTGTAAGACTTTGGGTAAGTGGCTTGCTTAAGCCATACATTGGTTTGTCTGCCTTTTTAAATACTTTTTAACCTTTTCAAACACACCATGGACTAACTGCTGTTCAACTGATTCCCGTATGACAGCTCCCATTGACAAGTGCAATGCCACAATCTACCTTTGCTTTTCATTATTCAGGAGATTTAGACTGGATAGGCATACACATAGCTAGGTACTCTCTGGTCATGTTAACCATATGCCTGGGTCTTCAGCCAGACTTCACCCCATAAATCCCCATACCTTCTGCTAAAGCAGGTATACTTCTGATACGGAAAGTGATAATGGAGAAGTACTGCTGATATCCTTTCCGCTTTAACATGATAAATCAGATGTAACTGCCCAAGCTTCAGTTTAGGCTGAAAAAGTGAAGCTTGTCTACTTCCAGCTTGTATCCAAAGGAACTTAATGAAAATATTTAGTTCTCAAACATCAGAATTTTCCTTAATGCATCTATAAGAATTCACCCACTTAGATGGGTTTTTCTCAGGACACTTGTTCAGAGATGTTTCTGAG